GTGTCAACACTGGACACCCGAATAAAAACAAAAGGCAAATATCTCAGTTGGTATATGTCTAAGCCACAATTATAATTATGTTGAACAATTAAATGTGTATATAAACTTTAACTTAATAAAACTTTTTAAATTTATATTGATTGATTACGTGATTTGTTTAAATACAGTATTATATATGTGCACATTTTATTTTTGAACTAATTTATAATTAAATTTGAATATTATTTGAGGATTTTTCTGATGTCATGCGACCTCATCTGCCATTGTGTAATATCATAAAACTGTGACCGTTGGGTCGGTATCTCTTCGATACCACGTCAGGATGACACTACTGTATACTTAGGTCGATACAGAGACCACAAGTTCGGGCAAGCGGTTACGTATGAGGTTACGTATGAGGACCCGGAGTGGAGTGAACGGAGAGAGGAACGGAAGAAACTACACTCAAAGACGCTTTAAACATAAATAATCGTTTATTTATATTAAATCTAAATTAGGTTTACATCAGGAATTAAGATTACAAGTTAGTATATTGCTAAACATAAGCTACGTGAATCGCGTTCAGTTATTGATCTCTTCTCATTTCCGTTCTCTAGTTACAATCGAATTCGCGATTAGTTTACGCAGAGAGAGAGAGAGCGTACAATAATGCGCGGACAGGATAAATACCTTATATTATACTGTTGATCGAATAACAGCAATAAAGTCCCAAATCCATTTTCTTTCCCGAACAGTTCTCTTTTAAGTTGAGTAGGTGAATTGTTGATATCTTCGAGTTCGGTAGGCGAGGAGGAGGTGTTGGTTGACGAACAGGAACAGTCTTTCGAAGGCGGGAGGTAAACATCTCGCGCACACACACACACAATCAAAAAATAACTTCTCCGATCTTACGCATCGGGCCGGTCCTTTTTATATGAAGTCCTCTTTTCGGGCCTTTCCCCGATTTCGTCAGGGATGACGATCTCCTTGGAACAATGAGGTGTCGGGTGACACAGAGATGTACTCATCTCAACAAGGAACCCAACTCGTGGGAATCGAGGTTTAACCAGATTTTATTTTTCCCTCTTCTCTTTTAATTTTTTAATAACTCGTTCCGTCTTTATAGAGTTGCATTTAATTAAAGTTTAATTAAAATTTATAAAATATTAAAGTTTATAACACGAAATTTCTGATTCTCACAAATCTATTTGAACATAACGAGAAATGAACATTTACCATTGATTAGACATCAATCGTAATCCTAGAATAACGTCAGAATTGCCGAGTGGTCTGAACTGCCAGACTCAAGGTAGTCCCTTCCTGTAAATGCGGGAGCTTGCATTCTGGTCCACGATGGTGGGCGTGGGTTCGATCCCGCTCTTGACACGTACTTTCCTTATTTGCTATTGATTAAAAATGTCTATTTCAGTGTGACATAAGCGCCTGTAAGACATTTTGTAATTCTTTTGATTCGAAACTCTAATATTAGTTGGTCAGAACTTTGCAACATGTTGAATTCCGTTTTGAGGTCATCGCAAAAGTAGAATAAACTTATCGAAATGTTGCAAAATTCTACTTTCACACACGTGTGTGGCGTAGCACAGTTCCTGTTCTAAATTTAAAGCAAAAGAAGTTTCTGAATTCTACAGTCGCTGTCGCCTTCAATTGCATAAACGATGACAGGGGACAAGAAAAAAAAGTCCCACCGAGATTTGAACTCGGATCACTGGATTCAGAGTCCAGAGTGCTAACCATTACACCATGGGACCTCACCCAAACCCTCGTATACTATATCACCTTAATGCATTGCAGATTGCCTTATCGACTATCGCGTAAAGATATCGCCGCATCTGTTGTTGCCGATAATGGAAATCTCTCTGTCTACAATTTCTCGTTAAATAGCGAAGCTGTAGCCAAATATCTCTCGCGAGCGCCGCGATTTCCAGAGAGAAAGACATCGTGCGTCAATTCGAGCCCGAAAATAATTAACGAATCTAATCGGAATCGAATATTCGATTATGACGCCTTAAAACGCGTTTTAAATCTGCTTGAGTGTTGTGCTAGAATTTTTTTTGAATATGTTACTTGCGCATGTTGGATATAGTTTTCGGAGTTCAGTGATCTCACGTAGCAATGCAAAATCATAGCTTCGATAATTCTTGTCGAATCGTTTGCTACGAGATGTTCGACAGCCGACAACAATGCCCGAGACAAACGTATTTTGTTGGGGTCACGGAGGCCACGTTTCTTTATGGAGCGAGAGTGTAGCGAAAATGACATCACGAGCCGCTATCGCTACACGTCGCTGCATTATAGTTTAGAAACGCTTTACGCTCGAACTGAAAATGGATGCCGTAATTTATTCTTTAATTCCAGATACAGCCGAACGTAGTGCTTTAGTTAAAGAACTGCAATATTTAAATAAAGAGATATAAAGAATCGAGCATTTCTCTTTACGAAAATGTGAGCAAAGAAATGAAATAGGAAATAGATAATTATATTTAAGATATAGTATTTTCTTATTCTTTAGATAACTTTCACAGTCATTTTATAAACTTTAATCCTTTTTAATTTTCCATAATATTTTTATCAACAGTCATTTCGACTTTTTTATTTTCAGAGCATAACATCGTATTGTATACCCAAGTATCCATTTTGCATTACAGACGTAGAGGAAGTAAAAGTTGTTTTATCAAACTCTTAAGAAGGTTCGCTACATTATAGCGCTTCATTTAGAAACGCTTTGCTGTGTAGCGATCGAACAGCGCTGCATAAAGAAACGCGACCGGATATTCACTAAAATCTTTCGAAAGAGTTAGAGATGAATGTGTAACTTGTACCGCAACACGTCGCGCAATTAAAGGCGAATTAAGGTCCGAAGGCGGATGGTTAATTTATTGTTTTCATTCCGACGGTTGAAATGCGACAGGACAGACACAAAAGTATTCGTTTCACTGACAGACGTAGTATGGAATGTGTAAGCTTCTTCGAAAACGGCGAATTCATCTACACTGAGACTAACGTATTGCTATCAAAAACGAATACAAACATTTTCTTATTGGAAGCGACGTGGAAAATTTTTGATAACTCGTTCGGAATTGCTACTTTCGATCTGAAATTTCCCGATGTAAACATTTTGCGCAATGGTTGTGGATGCAGTAATTTGCCTTTCTCTGAAAACGTCAGTGTTTGTTTTGTCGTAATAAAACCAAAGAAAATCTCTCGACCCGGACAACAACGTCGATTCGCAACTGCGATTAAATCTTGTGTTAGGGATTTAGACGTTGGCCCATCGTAAAGCCTGCATAAACGTCGCATGGAAATATCTTGCGCCATAGATTAGGCAGCCATCGCGGATGCTGAGTCACATCAGGATGGTCAAGAGATCTGAGGCGCCAGACTCAATGGAGACCTTTCATCTAAATGCAGAAGCGTCTATGATAGTGGGCGTAGGTTCGAATCCCACTACTGACACAAACGTTCCCTTTTTTATCTTCGGTCGATTGAAAATATTTATTTTAGTGTGACGTATGTTTGCGCTCTGAAGACATTCTTTTGATTCGAAACTGTAATGATGAGTGTGTCAGAACTTTGCAACATCTTGAATTCTGTTTATCTGCGATCGGTAATGTAGAATTGTTTTTACTTAGCACGTTTTGCACAGGTTTTACCGTACACTGTGAAACTTGGATAAATATTTTAACTTTAACATAAGCATAACAAAGAAATGCATATAAAACCAAAGACTAGACAATTAATATGGGCTGGCTCCCCCATGAAATTCGTACCATTATAATTAGTTTAAACTTCAATTATTTTGAATAATTCCAGTTTATTCGCAGTTTCGTTTACTATGTTTGCAAAGAATTTACGTAATTTTTTTTTAAAATATTTTTATTTTTTAAATTACAATAAACATGATGGAAAAACTTTATAAACAAATTTCTCTAATTATAGTAATTTAATTATTATTATATTTGATAGCAATGAATTAAAAAATTAATAATTCGTGTACTACAAAATTTATCTTGCACTGTATGGGTTGAGTCATTAGACTGAATGTTAGTGTATACTATTGCGTTTGAGGCGTTATCGTGAGGAACAAAATTGTAGCATGATAATACTTTTGATGAATTGTTGCCTGATGTTAATAAGTCATTTAAGTAATCTATAAAAACAATTGACACATGAAATCAATATAACAGATATAAGTGCACTGTGTTACAGAAAGAAAATGTTCCTATTATTGCTATAAAGGTAACAGTGTTGTAATCTAGTTATATGACTCTTTTCTAGAATAATTGTTTAAACAATTTGTATATTTTATAGTTTTAAACTATATATTGAAGTTATTTGTGGAATTAACAAGTANTGCACATAATGTTGTTCATTACAGTAATACCCCGACTTACGCGAACCCGGAGTTACGCGATTTTCAAATCTCGTCGATTCGTCTTTTGTTTGAACGCCACGCAACTCTCGATTACTCACTCCCCCCACACTATTGTTCGGCTTACATGTTCGGACATGTCGCGCGAAATCGACATATAGCTACAATTTATTTTGTGTTATTTATTTCTGTTTGTTATATCTACGGAGACGCGAGAGACTCTATGTCATCCAAACGAAGTAGGATTGATTCTTCTGCATCAAACAAGAAAAGAAAAACTGTATCTTTGGGATGTAAAGTTAACATTATCAAAGACTTCGATACAAAAATGAAAATTTGTAAATTGGCAAAGAAGTTTGATCTACCGGAATCGACGGTCAAAACAATTATAAAAGATAAAGAAAAAATTCACAAAGCTTAAAAAATGCTCAATATTTAAATTCAAGCATCATTCGTAAACGTCACGGTATTATCCCTGAGATGGAAACAATGTTAAAATTATGGTGTGATAATCAAGTAAATGTGAAAAATTGTATAATAATATAATTTGTTATAGGCTACACATGTATTATCTAAGATTTTATTAATCATTTTTTTCTAAATTATTGTTTTCTTTAGTCTTCGGCCCCAATTAAAAATTATTTGTATGTATTTATATGCGAAATTATACCCCAACTTACGCGGTTATCGCTCGATCCCACCTATCGCGTAAGTTCGGGTATTACTGTATTGAACATGTAGCATTTTCTGTAACAGTTTTAGTGATTCGCAAAATACGGTATCGGATTACTAATAGAGATTTCTTTTAAATATTTTTTGTTGTTAGATGAAAAAAATCCATATATAAACTGCTTTAATATTTAAAACTTGATCTAAAACGTTTGCATGGTTTCAATTAACCCTGTTTAAATTACAACATAAAACATGGTCCTCAGATCAGATTTGAACTCGTGAACAGTTTGGCTTTTTGCTGGGAAAAAGTACGACTAATGCTATCTTTGCTCTAAAACAGATGATGGAAAGGCACAGAGAAATGCAAGAAGATTTGCACATGGTGTTCATTGATCTAGAAAAGACGTTTGATAGAGTACCAAGGCAACAGATATGGACATGTTTGAGGGAAAACAATGTTCCAGAAAAATATGTTAGTCTGCTCAAAGAAATGTACGAGGGAGCAGAGACTCAAGTTAATAGTAGTGTGGGCACTACAAAAGGGTTCTTCGTTAATGTTGGTTTACATCATGGATCGGCCCTTAGCCCTTATTTCTTTGGCCTGATAATGGGCGTGTTAGTGCATAACGTGAAGTGTGGGGCGCCATGGAGTATGCTATTTGCGGATGATATTGTACTATGTGAACTTTTCCAATCAAAGGCTGAGAAACTGGAAGATTGGAGGAAACTTTTGGAAGAAAGGGGAATGAAGATTAGCACAACCAAAACAGCTTACATGACTCTGAATGGTAGAGACAAGTGAAATATTGAAATCGAAAATGTGCCGTTTCCTTTGGTTTTGAGTTTTAAATATCTTGGGACATTTGTTGAGATGGGAGGAGGATTGAACTCAGAGGTGCAGTATAGAATTCAATGTGGATGGATGAACTGGAGGAAGCTGAGCATGTGTTATGCGACAAGAAAGTGAGATGCAATCTGAAAGGAAAATTGTATAAGTCAGTTGTTAGACCTGCAATGTTTATGACATCGATGTTACTTTGACATTCCAGCCAGTTTCTGGTCAATCTGGCTGTGTGTATCGGGGAGTGATCATGAACGTTTATTGACAGGTCCAACTCTTGGAGAGAGGGTAAAACATTGCCTTCTACTATATTAACATATTGTGCTGCTGTCAGGTTGCCAATAATTCTCACCAGGGCACCAGGACCAGATGTAGACATCCATTCCCATACTCCTGCAAAACAAAAGGAAAAAATAACTTAAAAGCACGAGAATATGCATACAATTATAAATATCATCAGCGCAATTTAGTTTTAATGCTTGTGTTATTGCATTGGTTATACGCTATACTTACTTCTAGCATATTTTATAATTGTTTTCATTTGAACTACTTATAAACAGGTTATATTACACTATTGAAAACAATCTACTGATGTCTTAAATATTATGAAGATAATATTTTTGTATTTTCATAATATTGTAAGGCAATTATCAATCAATTAAGAGCAATACCTCACACATCATTATCGACTACTTTCTAATTTAGTGATTAAATCGAATGTTCGGAGAAGGAATACAACGAATATGGAGTGTAAATGGTTGGTTATTATCCAATGAAACACCCTACAGATACAGATACAGATACAGATTCTTTTAATGAAACATACAAAAATTTGTACATACTTGGCGCCGTTTACACACAGCCAAGTGAATCCAGAAACAAAGAAAGTGAATACAGTGAATAAATATAATTGAGATATTATATAGAAAAAATAAAATAAAATTAAGTTTAACAATTAAGATTAACAAATAAGAAATGATAAAACATTTACAAATTACAATAATAATATAAAACAATACACACAAAACAAAAACGTCGCGACATTGTGGTAGCCCACCTAAAGCTCTTTTCAGATTAAACCTGGGACAAGGGTGTCTATATTCATCTGTACTGGTTCGAAGAAACACCCTACGGTGTATTTCTTCGAACATAATTCGTTAAAAGATATTAGACATACTATCTTTCAGTTAGTTGATTGGACATTGTTTTAAGTCACGCCTGCTTGAAACGTATTGGCCATGAATTGTTACTGACTGACATCAGAGTGGCTAATCAGAGGGAACAAAAATATAAACAATCCATTTACCAGCAATGCAGATAAACTGTATGTAAATTAACAGTTAGAATAACTGTTACAACCACTAATTCATTATGCCTTTATGTCCTTAATATTTCAATTTTGTTTTTATATTGTTCAGGTAGACCTTGTTTATAAATAAGACTTATTATATTGGTGTAGTTTCGAATTAGCAATATTTCGAAGTATTCTTTATTTTTACTGGTGAAAATAATAATTTCTTGACTTAAGACTTCCTCCCTTTGCTAATTCCAAACACACACACACACATATATATTATGCATTACTTGGTTCTTTACTACCATCTGAAAATGTTTATGAGATGTGTTAGGACATTGCCTATCATAAACAACACATCAGATGCTACGATAATTAAAGCTTATATCTAAATTAATCATAATTTGGCAAAAATTATCCATCTAATAAGTGGAACTACTGATGTCAACAGTGTGGATTATTGCACAATGAGTAAAAACCGAGTGGACATGAAGTGTAGAAATAGGACCACTTCAAAACTCTGCCGAGATTTCTTGACATGGGTGTGTAAATTTATCATTGAATATTGGTTTAATATATATTCAATGTAAGAATTATTATATTAGTAAGAAAAGCAAAAATATAGAACCTTACCTACTGAGAATCTTCCGCTTCTTTTCCTTGGGCATACATATTTGCTATTGTGCCTCTCATCTCGAGGCCGATAAACCCAAACAACTCCACTTTCATCACGGGAAAAAATTTTTTCAACCTCACAGTTTCCCATTCCTTGGTCCAATGAAGATGTTGATAGGCAAAGCCTAAACAGTCAATCGTGTTACTATTAGTTAAGATTTGTTTCTGGGCAGCCCTTCTCCCCGGTAAATTGAACTCTCTTAGTCTAATAATATAATAAAATATTCTTTAATAAAGTTTGTAGTGCTCCGCAGCTAGAAAGTAGTTCTCGGGATAGGGTAGGTCCATATCGTGGCGATAATTGGTTGCGCGAACTGCCCCTTGGGTAAAGGAGGAACCCGGATGAAAGAAAGGATATAAAAAGGTGCACATTCACGAGGGAAAGATTTNCCCGGTAAATTGAACTCTCTTAGTCTAATAATATAATAAAATATTCTTAATAAAGTTTTATTAAAAATATTTTCATTACATTTATATGAATGCATCTTTTTAAGGTCTAGATATTACACTCAAATGCTACATACCTTCGTTTAACCGTATTTATGGAAACAGGTAAAGATAACTAAGATTTAAGTATTCTAGCAGTCTTAAATGGATCTTCTTCACAACACTGTTTTAACTGTGCATCTTCTGCGGTAGTAAACGTTGAATGACCTTTTGCCTTTTTTGGTGAAACAGTTCCACTTTCAATATTCTGTTTGCAGATTTTAATAACTGTTCGTTTACTGATCTTAAACATTTCTGCTATCTCTTTGACAGTTTTCCATCTCTGTGCTAAACAAATAATTTCTTAATGTCCTTTGAAATAGCTTTAGGCATTTTCTCAAGCTTTTTAGATTACACAAAAACGTGTCTAATCTAAGCATGTGTTTTTGTCAACTTTATCGTCTGCTTTTTGTTTGTCTTTTTTCCCATTAAGTGTCGCCTCTCATTTCCCTGTAAAGCAATTAAGTCTTGCAAGAAATTCGAAGTTCTCTAATAAATTTATAAACTTATTAATTTCTAACTTCAACTTTCTTGCAAGACTTAGTTGCTTCACAGGGAAATGAGAGGCGATACTTAACGGGAAAAAAGAGAAACAAAAAGCAGACGACAAAATGGACATAAAGAGTGTTCAGAGAGTGATATTGGATTTATTAGCAGATTTATTATTGGATTAGTGAAAATTATGAAGATGTCTCGTGTAATATTAAAAGATATTGGAAAATTAGTAGCTGAACATATAAAAGAAGAGAAAACATTTAAAGTGATGGATAGCACCAATGACATCGAAGCTTTTATTTACAATTAACAGCTTGTTTATAATAGCAGTGGGATGGATGGGGCTAAAATAATAAACTCTACACTGACCGTGAAAGAAAACACTTTCTTCTCTAATTACAAACGAAACTGCAGTTGGTCTGTGAAACTTGAGCTAAGTGAAGCTGATATGTTTGTTTATTTCATTTTTCGAATCAATTACAACAAAATAAATATAAAAAGACCTTGAAAGGGAGAAAACTGATTGAAATAAAAGATATAATTGTAATTTTTTCATAAATGATTATGCTATATAAGCAGGGATCAAGTTATCATTGATTAGTTTTGTCAATTAAAACAGTCACATGACGCCGCTTAAATGCCCCTCTTGACCAACTGCCTCATCCCAATTTCGCCTCAGATCGAAAGGGTCCATCTCAAAACTCTATGATAACAAGTCGCGTCCTGAAAATGCAAGTGATAAGTTACAGTGATGCTTTTCGATTATAGACAGGCGCATACTTCATTGGGCCGAACTGTACATATCATTCCAACATAAAATCTAAACTATTGTATATAACAATATACCAAGCAGTAAATGGTTTTGTTTTTGAAAAATGGTAGAATATCTATACCGGAGTACTGTAACAAATGCATGTATCTATAAGCCTTTTACCAGTGCACGTTTCATCACACTATACAATAAAGTTACAAACGTTTTTGAACCATTACGGTTCTTCTTCAGGTAACGATCCCCTAATGGAATGCAATTTGATTCAAAGTTGTTAAGAAATACGATCCAGAATGATGTCCCAACCCAATGACGTCAATACAGACTTGCGCGTTATGCATGTTGTGTTCTATCTTAGAGATTTATCTAGTAGGGCCTGCCAGGCCATCGATAGAGCAATTTCATCCTTGTAATTAATGTAATTACACTCTTTAATCATGTTTAGGCATATGTAGATCGCCTCCAGCCACCTGAGATGGTTTGTGCGGTGGGTGGTGTGAATGACCTTTGCTTGAGAGAATATGGGTTCTACGTCTGGGTCCGAAGAGTACATGGCCAGAGCTGTGTTGGTTCTTTCATGGTTAATATCTGCTTTATGCTCTTTGATTCAGGTTACAAGGGGGCGTTTGGTTGATCCTATGTAGACCATGCTTCTATCACACCTGTGATCAATGATAGGGATGGTGTAGATGCCGGGAAGTTTATTTTGGTCTGGGGGTGTCTTTTCCGTTTTTGTTCCATTTTTTTTTTCTTTGTACTGTAAGGTCTTGTTTTATGCGGTGGATACGTTCTACAGAAAAGCACATAAAAAAAAATTCGCATAAAAAAAGACTTTACTTGTCTTGAAAAAGTAGGGATACGTTCCGTAATTTTCTAAAATCGCATAAAACAAACAACGAGTTAAAATTAACTTAAAACCGCATAAAAAAAGTTTGCAGATATTAAAAGAAATAGGCTGCTTAATGAATTATTTCGAATGTCTGAAAGAAATTCATATAAAAGCTTAAAATAAACTTGTATTCAAACTTAATTCAGTTTATTTTATTGAAAAGTAATATAGTTTTACATTTTTTTTTTGAATTTTTGGAATGTTTTTTAAGTCTCCAAATTTTTTAAAAATATTAAAAAATATACGGCCAGCTTCACCCTATTTTAAACCCTTGTCCTCCTGCGACGTTTGAGAATGCCCCGGGAAATCCAACTCCAGCTGTGTTCAAGGTCATCCAGATGTATAAACTGACTCATCGGTGTTAAATTTCACAGAAGGGCAAGACAAAGGAAGTTAAACATTGAAGCTTTTTCTTCAAAATTAACGCATTTCTTTCGTTTTTTTTTTTTAGTTTTAAGTATTTTTAATGTTTAATTACATTTATATCAAAAATTGCTAGAAACTAAAGCGATTAAGGTAGATCTAGCTGTCCTTTACGTCCATAAAGGTTATATGTCAGTGGAACAAATGGAGTGAGCTTTGAGCGTCCCACGATTTTTGGAGACTGTCTATAAGCGGGCTTCCTAAACAAGCCTATATGTATGTTTGTCCAAAAAAAATTTTGGATGAAATACAAACCGCACAACTTCAAAATCGCATAAAAAAATCCGCATAAAACGAGACCTTACAGTATATTACTGAATGATGGGTAGTTCTAGTAAGTGGTATACAAGATACAAGAGTGCAAATAAATTATCATTAAATGCAATTACTGAATTGTATCTATTAATTTGCAACCCAGTGATGATAATTTTACATGCACTTTTTCCCCTTCTTAAATTTCTTTTTTTGTTTTTAAGATTTCATCTTAAAAACAAAAATATTTAATTTTTATATAATTACATATACAATCAACCCAATAAACATTACTAATTAAACAATACAGCCAGATTCATAACAGACTACAATAAGGCTAATTAATTAATGAGATATTATGCAATCTGAATTAGTAGGCAGTTAAGTCATCATCTGATGTCAAATTTAATTAGCCACATACTTCTAGTACAGATTCCTTAATATCTTAATTAGCATTATTGTAGCACAATGTGAATCCAGCTATACTACAGTATTTGATTATTTAATTTTTGTTGTACAGATTTATTATTATTTACAGTTTCTTTTGTTTTCCTTAACTAAATATTGAACAGAAAAGATAATTATTAAAGATCAATAACTTATTATAGTTGCTAACATTTTATATAGTTGCTAACTATATAAAATACTTAGAGTATTTTTTTTATAGACATCAAAGATTAAAAATCTTAGGAAAAATGGATAAAAATAATATACAAAGAAGAGCAATATACATTTTAGACTGTCGTGTATAATAATAATCAAGAAACTCCATTTAAGACTGAAACCAAATCAATTGTCTTTGCTTTTTCTTGAAGTACATATTCCTTAACAGGATGAAGCTGGAAATAAAAAAAAATTATGATTATTATTATTTCATATTAATTACTACAGAAGAAAGGAAAATAGTTTAAACTAAGTATATGAAAAGATTGATTCATTCATAGTAGTTAATAATAATTAAAAATAAATATAATTAACTTACAGTCTTAACTTGAGAATCATAAGAACTTTTCAAGAAGCATATAAATTTTCCATTATTAGACAACCCATAATGATTACATGCTATTTTAACTGCATCTTCATCATTATACATTAACCATTCTTTTAATACTTTGATAGGAAACTGGCAATTTTTTGAACTATAAGCAACATTTATTACTTCCAACGAATGTCTAAATTTAGGGGAAAAAATCATTAATAATCATAAGATCTGTAATCAAATTAATAATCATCAAATGACAATCATTTAATATTTATTATAGTTACCTCCTAATTTTTTCTAAGTGTTGATATACTGAACAGAATATCAGGAAAGGAAGTTTCCTGAATGAACGTAACATTCTGATAAAATTCCAATGTTTATAAGCTAAACTAATTTCAACGGCTAATTTCACTTTTGGATCTGATCTAAAATAATAATTGTTCTTGTTTTTCACTCATATATATAAAAATAAATTTAAATATGAAGGCAAAAAATGAGTAAGAATTTTACCTCACGTCAGATGGAAGATGCAAACTATGATTTAGAGCTTCTGCTGATCCAAGATTATGAAGAATATAAATTGTTTCCATTTCAGCACGATTTTTTAATATTTCTTTTTCATTTACTTCATTATAAATTACTAAAAGTCGCTTCAAACACTCTTGTAAATGGACGTTATTGAGATGCGGATCAAATGTAGATTGTGGTTTATGTAATAATCTACATTATTATTAATAGATTAATGATGATAAATTAAAAATTTCATAATATTGATTTTTAATAAAATTTTCTGAAAATGATATACATAATGATTACAATTAAAGAGATGTTTAGTCCCATATCAAACATATGTCAGGCAAAACTTAACCACATTTTGTATGAATATTCTTTTAAATATGGGCTGATAATATGCAGGAAAAGTTTTTAAGTTCAATTTTTTTGTCACCAAAGAATATGGATAAGGCTATTATCCATAAAAGTGGAATGATTAGTAAAAGCATTAAGTGTTAAATGTGATTAAATAGTTTTTATTTTAGTACAGATTATAGATATGGTTCAATGTATCTTCCACTTCTTCCACTTATACATTTTTCTAGAATTTTTATAAAAATATATATTGAATGACATTCTCCATAACAAAATGTAACTGGTCTGCATTAATTTGTCTTATGTGAGGTGTTATTCTGGATTACTGTTCAGAAAGAAATGAGCCTCATTGCTTTACAAGATCTTCCAAGGACATTATTCATCTCCATTCAAGCAAGAAATACCAGAGAAAAATGTCAGCTGAGTTTCTGTATCACAAGGAAGCAATGGCTATGTTCAGCAGATTCAACAGTTCTATTTTGAATGGAGGTATGGTAGCAGTAACTTCTATGTAACAGCAATAAATCTGCTGAATGACAAATTATCAGCTGCTGAAAGTAGTTAGTGGTGCTAGATTGGCTTCTGCTTATTTCCACAACTTAAAATCATTTGAGTAAATAAAATTTATCCTTAAATTTATATTTTGCATATATCTGTTTTCAGTTGCTGATAGGTATGTGAGGATTAACATTAATTATAAAGCATACTTTCATATTATTAAATAATTTATACTTCACATTTTGTATGAGCACAGCCATCTTTAATCTGTTATCACAACATGAAAGTAGCATAAATGAAGTTGACTATTAAATGTGATGTCGCTGTACTCAACATATTCCAAAATAGTGCTCCCATAGAGTTTAGGAGAAAAATACTCCTCTTGAGTCTGCTGAATGCAGTCAATCACTGAATGTGATTTATTCTATAGGGGGGGGGGAAAATGCCAAAGTTTGTACAAAATCTTCCATACTGTTGTTAAGGGTATCAGATCCAGTTGTGACTGAGCAATGTCAAATCAACTAGTTAGTTGATTTGACATTGCTCAGTCACAACTGGATCTGGCATGTCAACTACTACTTGCTCCATGATGGCTGTAGCAACTTCTTCAGCTTGCACCTGGTTTGCTTAATTGTCCTAATCTCACTATTAAAGATCCAGTTTCTTAAATCAATCATTTTTCTAAGATTTAGATTTGTTTTTGGACTTCTTATGTGCTTTGGATTCTTCCAGCAAAGCACAGCAGTTTCATTACTTTATTGATAAGCTTACCAAGCAAAGTATATTCAGGTAAGAGCCATACCATTTAAATGTCAAAGAATGGCATAAATCAATTTATTTTCATTAAATCATCGACAGAAATATTACCGTATATAACTTTTATGATTTTATGGTGATTTCACCTCCAATTCGTTTTACTTCTGATGTCAAAAAATTGAACTTAAAACTTTTCCACAAATTATGAGTGTTTGTTTGAGAGTAATCATATTAAGTTTGGGTTCACTTTGATCATTCATACAGCACTATGAACAAACACCTCTTTAATTCTCTCTTTATGTAATAAAATGTTTAAAATCAATAAC